ATCTTCATCTACATCTTCATCTATCATTATCTATCAATATCTATACCCATCTACATCTTTATCTATATCTTTCCTACCTTATCTATATATGCATATTTGTATTCCTCTTTCCATTACTGCTAATGCGGTTTTCTAAAGGTCTAGTACAACAGGTAATTATTCTTGGTTTCTGTATTTTCTCTAATGTATGTGTAATCCTAGTCATATATATATATATATATATATATATAATATATAATATATATATATATATATATTCCTAGTCATATGCACATGCGTATACCTATTCCTATATACAAGTGTATCCACATTCATATTTACGTGTATACACATTCATTTGTAAATCTGTAAATGCATGATAGGTTCAATAATCAGACTGAAAAAATAAGAAAATGGAAACTTTATTTCTCTCTCATCACCATTACACAAGTACAAGCTTTCCACCAGGGAGTATGGAGCTGTTGAAGGCATTGGAACCGTACTTAATATCGCCGTCCCACTTTCTAATAAGCCTTGGTTCTCTGAAGAGTTCTGCTTGGTATGCTGAATATGGGATAAACGAAAGGAATTTCCACATTTGCCAAATCAAGAACAGGAATAGGAATCTCTTGCTCCTTAAATGAAAGTGTGGGAAGTTGAGGAAGACGAATCCCTGCGTTGAAGCCGTAGTTCAGCCTTGCCGGAGCCAAAAACTCGTACACGTTAGGAGAACTAGACTCGGCACCTACGCACAGGGACACGCAGGTAAAGAGAAGAACAATAACAAGCATCTTCATGATGTCTGAAACGAGAATACAATGGCATCCCTTGCGAAAACAGGCCTTTATACACGGATTCAGGGAAACTCTGATCTCGTAACCAAGTTCCCGTCTTTGTTGGTTGTTAGGAATTAGGGAAGGCTAGCAGGGGCTGTTTCATTCTATGGTTATAATGAGAATATAAACATCTAAAGGCCGATTCACTATACGTTCTCTTTCTTACTGTCATCCTTTAAGTACAAAATTTAACTCATGCTTGCTCAATACAGTTTGAATATGACGCTAAAATATCGAAAAAGTGACCATTCCCATCGCACGTTCCAGTACTTCAAATGTTTTTTTTCTTAAAGGCCTAGCACAACAGGTAATTATTCTTGGTTTTCTGCATTTTCTCTAATGAATTATTGATTGATATTCAACACGAATTTCTATTTTCATCAACATCCTACTTACAGATGCAAATATTTCAAATAATTAAAGAGAAATAATTTTTGGTTCTCTCTTGGCATCATAAGGTACGATTTTTTTTTACTATCGCCTCATTACCAGAGAATATCTATTTTCTAATGTTTGAAAAACACGTTAGAAGTTTTTTCCTTCTTATGTATTTGTTCTTTATTTCTACATTCCATCCTCTAAATATGTGTTAATACTTTTGGTCAAGAAATTAATTACAAAAAGAGATTCATTTGTTCTGTAGCAGTAAGAAAATATTTAATCGATCACACACACACACATATGTATATATTTATATATTTATATTATATTATATATACTATATATACATATATATTATGCATGTTTATTATATATGTTATATAAATACCAAATATGTAATATAATATGTATATATCTTATATATAACAATATATATATACCTATACCTATATACATATATGTATATGTATATATGTGTAATATAATGTAAATATATTATATATCTTCTTATTTTATATATACACTATACATAATATATATACATATATATTATATAATATATATATATAGTATATATATTCCAGTTTTATATTATAAGATATTTATGTATATATATTCACATTTGTCTATATCTGTATATATAGAGATATTCAGGCATATAAATGCATGCATATAAGTACATATACGTATACTCGTGTATACGTATATGAATAAGGAATCGATTTGCAAATAATGGGGAGATATTAAGCCTTTTTTCTTGGCACTCACTTCCATTATATGCTTCACTTACCTGGCTGCGCTATTCATTATCTGCTTTACTTACCTGGCATTCACTTCCGATATCTGCTTTATATACCTGGCACTCACTTTCATTATCGGCTTTACTTACCTGGCAATCAGTTCCATTATCTGCTTTACTTACCTGGCACTTACTTCAATTATTTGCTTTACTCACCTGGCACTCACTTCCATTATCTGCTTTACTTACCTGGCACTCCCATTAACTGTTTCATCACTGGGATTCATTTCTTTTATCTACTTTGCTTACCTGGCACTCGCTTCCATTATATGCTTTAGTTTACTGGCACTTCCTTTTCATTATTTCCTTTACTTACCTGGCACTCACTTCCAGTATTTGCTTTACCTACATGGGACTCAATTCCTTCATCTGCTTTACTTACCTGGTACTAACTTCCGTTATCTGCCTCACCTGGCAGATACTTTTATCAGCTGTTTTTTTTTTCCTGGCACTCATTTATATGACCTGCTTTTTCTTACCTGGCATTTAATTCTATTAACTGCTTTACTTACCAGGCACTCAATCCCATTATATGCTTTACTTGTCTGACACACTTCCATCAACTTTTTTTTTCCCCTGTAACTCACCTCTATTACCTGCTTTACTTACCTGGCACTCACTTCCATTATCTGCTTTGCT